TTCCCGTAACTCCAAATAAACCCATGTATAATTTCGTCACTGGAGTGTGTAATATACTAGTACATGCATACAAAACTATGAATTCTTCCTTCTATTCGCCCGATATTTCAATTACAGTGTAATTATTAATTTCTTTTGGCATAACTGCTGAAAATTACTATATTGACTTTTATGAATCATTACGCGAATTTATTCATAACTTCATTTAACTATGCTTACACAGGTGAATGTCTAATATAAATTAAAAGAATCTTATCTCAAAGGGGAAGTGTTACGTATGCTAGAGGATGTCAAGGATAAAATATTTTGAACATTCGATGGAATATTATGAAAGCTGCTATTAAAATGTATATCGTCAATGTAAAAACATTAGGAAACTTGTATCAATCTAGGTCAAGCGTAAAGGCTTAAAGAGGAGGTTAAATTTAACTTCGAAAAGGAAGATCAAAGACAAAGGAAACAATGCACGACAATTTGCCCTAGAAGGCATTTTCAACACTGGACTAAGGTCTATAAAGCTGAAGTTTACATTTGATCACCACTGGTTTACGGGCACGTAACTAAAGAGATTGTAAAAAGTAAAGTAGATTCTTCCCATGTAGGAGAGAGTTATATACGGACTCCGAACCGTGGCTTGAGACGATAAGAAAGGGGTACCTTTCATTAATTCTTTCCCCAAACTTTTCAGTAATTTTTTCAACTTTAAAGCTGCATCATAGAGATAAAAGTGTTCCCTGTGTTATATGGTCCTGTGGATTTTGTTTTCTTCCCTATTAACTGCAGAACTGTAGTGTTATGAATTTACATAGAACATGTATGTCTTATATATCTCTTTGACCATGTTCTGTTCAAAGATTGCATGGAAAGTGTATCCATTCATCATTAATATTGTCTCTCGCTTTCAATGCGTGGCACAGTGCTTATAGAAGAAGTCAATCCTTACGTCACGGGTTCGAATCCCACTGCGGGACGTGGAGACCGGTCCTTCGGATGAGACCGGATATAAACCGAGGTCACGTGTCGCAGTAGGTGCTGGCACGAAAAAGATCCCTCCATGCTCAATGTCGCCGAGTATAGGACAAAATTTGCAGCTTTACACAGGCAAGTAGTGGCGTCTCCATATAAGTGAAAAATTCTCAAGAGGGATGGTAAACATTATACAATCAATCAATCGCTTTCAATGTCGATTTGTGTTTCTGTCTTTCTGTAACACTCTTTTCCCTGCGATATCTCGAATTGTCTTTTTTGTAAGACTCATTACATCAAATGTATTTAAGAGAAACTTTTGTAACGTTTTCGGGTTCTTTTATGGGATTCGGCTGTTCTATCTGAACAATTAAATAATAAATCAATTTTCTCAATCACAAATTTAAATTAATAATATGTACAATAACTCCTTCGTTTCTCGGGAGCGCCTTCCAAGGACTGAAGCGCGTCCGCTTCTTACCTTCAGTCAAACCAGAATATCAGGTACTATTTCTAAATAATATATAATCAATCAAAGTCTCGAAAGTCTATTTCAGACACATAAGACCTGATTCAAGGTATTCCTTGCAGTACCTACCACGTTTGACTCTCTGTATACAACCGTCTTTTCAATTCGGCCGTCAGCAACAGACTCACTAAAACAACCGATTGTCTCCTTATTTATACCTACAACAGGTCACGTGACCTGCGGAGAACCCAAGGGAACCAAGGAACCGGGAGTCAGTGCAACTACCGAGAAACGAAGGGATAATATGATCTTGATTATAGTTTTGCTTCACTACCCACGCCTCCAGGAAATGCGTCTCGCATTCCTCAGTAAAGAAAAACTAAAGGCGTACAATATTACACATGTTGATTATTATTTACACCATGCAATAATCTTCTTGACTGACTTTGCGCAAGTCCAATAAACATTAGAACACACTAAGCTCTCTGCTTAAATTTACAATGTTATTTGCCATATCTACAGTTTTAACCACTAAAACCAGAGTTCTTCTTCATGGGTCTCTTCTACATTTTTTCCGTCCTTTTGATATGTTTCCTGACACCGATCCAAACGTCTTCTCTTGGTCACTTCGGTCTGAGTGGCCTCTGTCATCTGCTCTGTTGGAAGAGTCTGTGTACCTTTGTCGACACCAACTGAACGGATGGAATCCTGGCCATCAGTCTACGAAGCAGCTGATACTGTTGCCGAAGGAACTGCATGTTCTTTCACAGTCGTCATGGGATGCTGGAATGTAGCAGGAGCAACAGGAACTAAAGTCAATAAGCTCTTGACTTTTGGAGTGTGTACAGGAGTCGGTCTCGTTGGTTTCCTTTGCGTCACTTCGGAAGAAGGAAGGGAAGTCCCAGCCGCTGTGGCTTCACCAACAACATCTGATAGATTCCCGGGATCCAACTGCTCCCAATCACTCTCGCTGTCAACCTGAGCAAATCCACCATGTCGAGTTTTACAATGTCTGACCATATCGCTCTTCTTATTTGTAGCATAGTCACAATGACTGCATTCAAACCGTTTCTGTCTGCGCTTCCTCCCACACTCAAGTACATGTTTCTCCCACTCTGATTCTTCACCGAATCTCTGAGAACACATAGGACAAAGGTGACCCTCTTTTCTTTTAGTGGTCTTGGTGTTTGCCATGATCTGCAAAAATCACAAAAACAAAAACCTGAGTATAAAAATATTTTAAAAACTAAACATATAATGAAATTGCTCTACACTAATATGTAGTTGTACTGACAGCTTATAATTTGTATTCAACAATGAAGTCGTTATGCCACACGGGTGCATTTCTAATGCGCCTTGGCCTATCTGAAGCACAAATGCTAGGGTTTTCAGCAATGTCATACTGATCTTCATTTTCTTCTACAAGACACTCTTGAGTATCATCTGCATTGTTTGGACTCTCGGAATTACTGATATCATTCTCTCTTTGAAGTATCTGTGACTTACACTTTCGCAAGCGATCACAGTGAATGATAGTGCTTTTTCCTTTTGTTCCGCATGCAACCTTATATAAAACATCTGACAATTTGTCTTCAATTAAGAAAGGCCCTCTCCAAAACGATGTTAACTTCGGAGAACAACCGCTCTTTCTGGTAGGGAAAAATACATAAACTCTTTCTCCGGGACTAAAGGATGACCATGCTAGTTTGGTATCATGGTACCTTTTCTGGCGCTGCATTTCACCTCGCATGTTTTCTCTGACCAACTTATGAGCTGACTCTAATCGTTCGCGTAACACCCAAACCCATTGACTTGTTGGAATATCCTTAATATCTGGGGGCATTTCATACATCAACTCTAATGGTGTAGTGGCTTCGCGCCCCAGCATCAGCATGTTTGGCGAGAAATTGGTGGTGTCATGTTCTGTAGAACGATATGCCATAAGTATATATGGAAGATGCAAATCCCAGTCACGTTGGTTCTCCTGTACGTAAGTGCTTAACATAGAGAGCAGTGTGCGGTTAAAACGCTCCACCATCCCGTCTGACTTCGGATGATAAGGTGTTGTACGGGTCTTTTTAATCCCAAGTAACCGACACATCTCTTGGAAGAGCCTGCTCTCATATTGTCGACCTTGGTCCGAATGAATGGTGAAGGGGATACCAAATCTGACAAATACCTGTTCCACCATAGTGCGTCCAATTGTCTCAGCTTCCATATTTGGCAGAGCGAATGCCTCTGTCCACTTGGTGAAATAGTCTGAAACAACTAAAATGTGGCGATTTCCTCTATCAGTTTCGGGTAGTTCACACAGTATATCTGTGGCAATTCTTTCCATTGGCATACCTGATCCGGTTATCTGCATCGGGGCTCTATGTTTAGGATTTGGATTTTTACGTCTCGTACACTTGTCACAGCCTGTAACATACTGATAGACGTCTTTTTGAAATCCAGGCCAGTAATATCTCTGTCGTATCTTAGCTATCGTTTTGTTTACCCCCAAGTGTCCCGACGTCTGATTATCATGACACATTTCTAAGACGCGTCTGCGCTCTTGGTCAGGTATGATAGCTTGATGAACTTCTTTGTTGGGACGAAGCAGAGTCCACTTACGCATTAGCAATCCATTCTCTATAGCAAGTCTAGAAAACTGATTCCACAAAGACTTCACTACGTAGCCATGCATAGATATATCGCTAAAACTTAGTCGCTCGCCTTTCTCAACCCAAGTTTTTACAAGCTTAATGTCTCTGTGTTGCTCCTGAGCCTCTTGCAGATTAAAATCCATGTCATCACTTTTTACCTCTGATGGCTGTATAGTTCGTACAGCTGGTTCAACTTTCATATCATACTCAGCATTTTCCATTGATGAAGCATCAAACCCACACTGAGCGCAAGGTATTCTGCTGAGCGCGTCCGCATTACCATGCTTTTTACCGGGTCTGTGTTCTATTTTCATATCATAGATACTGATCACTTCCAGCCACCTAGCCAACTGACCCTCTGGGTTTTTGAATCTTACAAGCCATCTCAATGACCCATGGTCCGTTCTAATAAGAAACTGTTTACCATAGAGATAGTGGCGGTAACGCTTAATAAAATGGACAACGGCCAAAAGTTCTTTCCCTGTCACACAATATCTTCTTTCTCTTGGACAATGTACGGCTAGCATATGCTATGTAAAGGTTACATGCCGAAAACTGTCCATTCTGTGAGAAGAAAGAACTATTGGAGGGCCGTTAGGCCCGACAATAGTTCTTTTTTCTCACAGAATGGACAGTTTGAGGCCTGTAACCTACTTAAAACATTTCATTCCATTGTGTTCAGAATGGACTCTCTTAGAAAAGTTTCTCTCTTGCAACGTCAATGAAGTAAACATCCTTTGTATTAAATTTGGCATTGTCTTCTTAGTAGACTGTCTCAGGTAAATTTGTTGATTTAAATACTGTGAATAGGATTCACTTCAATTGTTAACTTAGTGGACAGTTACAGGTGAGTTCCTTGGTTTTGTATAAAAAGCATGCACATCGAACACCACTTCTTAGTAAATGTCCCTGCGGTTAGGATGTCCTCTTCAGATGGAGAAAGCGTGTTTTTAACACAAAACAAGTTTAGAGAAGTTGATGAACAAGAAAACAACACGGATGGCATTCTCAGTGATATTTTGGATTTGGAAAGAGAACATCCAAAAAAACAACCGAATTTTGACCTCAAAGTAGATATTTTTTCGGATATTTCTGACGAGGAACTTGTTAAGGCCACCCAAGACATAGAAGGAAAAGAAAATATTGAAAGGTTTGCACGGCTCAATCAAGAAGATTTGGATAATTTGGTTAAGAAAGGTTTATCGAAGAAAACAGAGCAAAAGTCAAAGTGGGCAATGACTCTATTTACGAACTGGCAAAATGAACGAAAGTGTATGTTACCAAACCATGATACATTTATGTATCAGGATATTATGATAATGAGTGATGAGGAAATCAACAAAACAATGAGTTTCTTTGTAGCTGAAGTGAGGAATAAATCTGGAGAGGATTACAGACCCAATAGCTTGTATGAAATTGTGTGTGCAATTCAACACAAATTACGACATGAAGGTAGATTCATAAACTTTTTGAATGATGATAAATTTCACGATATGCGCAGTATTCTTGATTCAAAGATGAAAGAACTCTCTGGGCGAGGCATGGGGATAGAGCGAAACGGGCAGAGATCATAACTGAGGCTCAAGAAGATGAAATGTGGTCCAAGGGAGTTTTAGGAAGAGATACACCTCAAAAACTCTTAGATACTCTACTGTTTCAACTAGGACTACATTTTGCACTACGAGCAGGACAGGAACACAGAAACTTGAGGGTTGGGACAAACAGTCAGATTTCTCTTTCCATGGATGCATCTGGACTGCGATATCTCGAATATAGAGAGGATGTCTCCAAAACAAATCGCGGTGGGCTCCAGCACAAAAATCTGCAACCTAAAGTTACCAGAGCATACCAGAACAAGAATGTTCCCGAGAGATGTCCTGTGCTCACGTATGAAAAATATCTGCATTTAAGGCAAGTATATTGTTGTTAATTTCCACCAAAATATTGCTGTAAGATATATCTTAATTTAAAACACTTTAATCTATAATATGCAATTTTCTTTTAAAGGCCTGAAGCTGGTAAAACCAATGCTCTCTATTTGCGACCTCTGCGGTACCCCACAGATTCCACTTGGTACGCCGACTCTCCTGTTGGAGTACACACTCTTCAACAGACCGTCGCAAAACTGTGTAAAATAGCAGGATTTACTGGCCACTACACAAACCATAGCCTCAGAGCAACCGCCGCAACACGCCTTTACGATGCTGGCATTGATGAGCAGCTAATAACCGAGAAAACTGGACACCGCTCGACATCTGTTAGATCGTATAAAAGAACAACTGAAGAACAACAGCAAAGAGTGAGCAAAATCATTCACGGTGAAAATCAGTGTGATGTAGCTATCAAGAAAGCCAAAACCGCAGCCGAAAGTGATTCTAATGTGTGTGCACCAGCTGGTGCTAGTGAAACTGAAATTTCGTCTGGAAGTGTATTTTTCAAATTTAAATTCTAAAGTTGGAATAATTATTACAATGTGTGTAATTCGTTGTTCATGAATAACATGTATATCTTTTGTGTTGGATTTGTTGTTATTTTTTCTTAGTGCTTACCTGTAACTGTCCAATAAGTTGTAAAAAAGTGTCCACTATTTTTAATAGTGGACAGTTTTTCCAACTTATTGGACAGTTACAGGTAACTTATTGGATTGTTTTTGTTATTTCAAGGATAAGAAGGTATTAAAAGAACAAAAGATGATGTCATAACAATGTTTTAAAACACGTTCCTTGCCATCAATATTTTGAGATAATACCGCACCGATCGCTTCATTGCTAGCGTCGGTATCCAGAATGAATGGCTTCGTTACATCTGGTAGAGCTAATACTGGCGCAGTTATCAGTTTGTTGCGCAGCACTTCGAATGCTTCTTGTGCTTCTTTACTCCACAGAAACTTCCTTCCTTTTTCTGTGAGTCGATGCAATGGTTTGGCAACTGATGCAAAATTCTTTATAAAGCGCCGGTAATAACTGCAAAGACCTAGAAAAGATCTTAATTCAGTCACAGTACTTGGAATTGGCCACTCAGCTACAGTGCAGGGAAATAATTTTGTTACAGCATCAATGCTGATTTTGGTGCTTCCTATGCTTGCTGATTTTGATGCTTCCTTTGCTTGCTGATTTTGATGCTAGTTATCCTTATCCTGATCCTGGTTTGATCCTTATCCTGATGCTGGTTTGAAACTAGGTCAATGCTAGTAATGCTACCGGAAGTAGGATTATCCTGCCGGAAGTGGATAATTCAAAAACAGCATCGCTATTTTAAGCCATTAAAAATAATTTTGGGAGTAATTTTTATTTGTTATTTGTATTAAATGACTTTCCTTTATCTGTTTTCACTTTTTACCGAAAAAATTAGCGATTTTTAACGAATTTCGTTTTGTCGTATTGCAATCGTAAAGAAACAAAATGGCGACATAGTGGAAGTTGGAAGTAAATCTTCATCTTGCGAAGTTATCGTAACATAGTTATTTGATATTGATTGCAGCTAAAATGCGATGATTTATCCTTTTTGTGATGCGATTTCAGTAGGTGGAATAGCCCTAGTGTGTGCAACGTGTAAGCATGGAAACGTGATGGACAATGAACATGATGAAGTTTATGTCAAATCCAGATGAAAATTTATTGCGTGTCCTGTGAATATTTTGCTTTAGCCTAAATGGAAAAGTCGTAATCCAAGGAACCAATAGATCATCAGTACAGTCACTACAACCACTCAGAGGGTATGTAAACAATGTTTTTTTAATAAGTTTATATAAAAATGGTAAAGATGTGAAACAGATTTAGTGTTACAAAAAATCAAAAACTCAAAATTCTGAGCGATTAATCATTAAGGCATTTCAACATGTTAAACCCATGTGATTTTAAAGGTCAATTTTTACAATTGAATAAAAAATAAATGATTTTTTTTTAATTTAGAATCTGCAGATGCAGTATTCTGTAGTTAATCCACAAAGTATCAAGTCAGATTATACATAACCCATTGTTGCAACCATGGCCAAAATGTACAACCTTCTCCCATTCTGACCGTGGTCAAATGAGAAAGAATATTTTGTAGCTCGATCATTAATATTTTGTAGCTCATTAAAATATTGACCATTTGCAAATAAAGCAAAGTAAGATATTTTACTTTGATCATGATACCCAGTCGCAGTGTAAGAAACACTGTTGAATGAATGTAAATTGTTCATTTCAATTGGGATGGAAAGAAACCCATGTTCACTTACAATGTCATATGACGTCACAATAAAGATTGAGGCATCAAGATAAAGATTAGGAAATTTTTTGATCAAGCAGCCATGAGCAGGAGAGCTTCACGCTTACAACAATGTGGTAATGTACATAATATAACCTGACCGACTGATAACCAAGTCCACTCAAATGTACTTCACTTAAACATAGTACATGTACATGTATTTCAACTTTTGAACCAATTTAGAAGTCAACTCTTAAACAATAGTCCCAAAAAATAATCCATATAAATACGAAAATCCAATTAATTTTCTCAACGTTTTTCTCTCAATTCAAATTACCTGCGATGTTTACATTTGGAACTCTCTAGATTGTTCCTAGTAAATGCACTATGCGAGTTATCGCCCGTGTTTCTTTCTGCTACATTATGAATACACGGAACGAATTCTATCGTTAAACCGGGTCCGTAGGACAATATCATTTTAACGATAGAACATTCTATCTAGGCTGTTCCCTATCAAGTACTGTCCTGTGTCTAGTTTACGAGTAGAATCTAGATTGTACTTAAGGCTTTAAACAGATATATAATTTTTTCAGAAGGCAGATATGTATCTATCCTGATATTTGAGCTACAATACAATGTCAATATATATCAAATATTTGAATTGGTCATGTTGATCAGGAAGTCTTTTTTTGTATTGAACAAGATGTGTTTGTGAAACACTGTGGGGCCGGTGGTAACAAAGTTTAAAAAAAACTGTTTTTATTAGCATATAGGTCAAAGTCTAGGTCATAAGGTCATTGATCTCAATGTCATTTGAAAGAACTTTATTAGTGGAATATGCATACCGAGTATGAAGTCTCCATCTCCTATGATTCAAAAGTTATGGTAAAAGTTCGAAAGAATTATTTTAAGCATGTAGGTCACAGTCAAGGTCACAAGGTCATTGAAGTTGGTGTCTTTTGGAAGAACTTTTTAAGTTGAGTACGCATGCCAAATATCAAGTCTCTACCTCTCAGAGTTAAAAAGTTTTGCAATATTTAAATATTTTTACATACATATTGATATACGTGTACTTAATCCTCACACGATTATCGATTAATCATTTCAGCCTCAATGGTTCCTTTAAATTTTACTGGAGTTAAAAGAGAAAAGATCGCCAAATTATGTTCAATTTGTAAAGTTACTTATTGTCATTGTGCCCCTATTTCATAGCATAAGTTTTAGTAGTCAAAGGCAATTTATTTTCTTTTACCTGTAAAAAAAAATTAATTGCTCTAAATGTGTAAAATTAAATAATTTCCTCCTCAAGTTTGTATTTTGTATATTTGTGTGATGTACACATTACTCACAGTATAAAGTTAACAACTGTAGTTAAAACTGTATTTATAGCATTGTTTTTTTAATATTTGGCATTTTTTGAAATTAACCTAATTGATGTTTCATATTTTTCAGGCCCATGACAGAGTAAACAAAGCAGAAATTCCTCCAGGATTAAAGTATTCTGGTCTTCTCTTTGGACCTAAATCCAGCTGATGAAATAGTGAAAATTTAAGCCAGGAACTTCTGTTAATCAGACAGTGGCATTAAAACCGTTGTGATGATGTGCGCCAAATCCATTGATGACATACATATATACATTTTAAAGTTATCTCCCACTTAGATCTAAAATGAAATGGACAGAATTTAAAGTTTAAAGTGGATTTCAAGTGATTTGTGTATTGTATACATAATTAGATATGAGATGTATGTAAATAGAAATGCATCCCTGCTCTTTTGTACAATCTTACAACTGTTCATGATGATTGTCCATAATATATAAATTGATTTTATAGAATAAATGAAAACATATATTTTACAATAGTGTGATGTTTGTTTTAAGTATAATGTACTAATTGAAAGATACATGTTTATATGATATTCTGTCCAAGTTGTATTTTTAGTATATACATTTTAAAAAAAATACTGCCCCTGATATTTTATTTTTGAGGACACCAACATTCCATGTAAATAGGCAATATTTCTGTTACATGTAGTGCTCTTATTGAAGCTGAATGAAGCATATATAATTCTTAATTGCATTTTCATGAATACTCTAAAAATAGATTTTTTAGATCACTTGAAAAAGAATATCAAACACTTATTGATGACTGGTAAAATTTTCACTGATGTGCCAAGATTAATGAATTGTAATGACAAAGATAGTAATACCGGTGAATTTAAATAAAAACATTTCTTTATTATTATACCCCCCGCTTGAAAAGCGGGAGGGTATATAGTAATCGTTAATTCCGTCCGTCTGTACGTCTGTCCGTCCGTCCGTCTGTCCGTCCGTCCGTCTGTTACGCTTTGGGGTACCCGTCTCTTATCCGCAACTCCTCTCATACCACTGAATGAAATTTGATGCAACTTTCACAGAATCTTTATTACATATTGCCATTGTGCACCTCCTATTTTACTTTTTGATCCGACACATATTTTGGGTTTCCCGGCCACAAGAAAACATGGACTTTTTCACCAGTTATAACCATATGGGAGGCGGGGGGTATCATTTAGTGAGCTCATCGCTCACAGTACCTCTACTTTGGATTTAATTCATTTAAAACTTTAATTGGAAAATTCCATATTTATAAATCTGCAATAAGAGACTGAATGTGGGGGTAACACATTGTTATGTAGGGTATCTTAGACTGAATAAATCATTTAAATACACAGAAAAATAAGCTTGTAGTATTTTAAATGCCTGGGAAACACACTTTTTGACATTTTAAAATTATGTTCACTATCCATAGGATTTTAAAACCAGTACAGGGAATGAAAATGACTCCACCATCAGCATGAATTCATTAGGCCGAAATAAAAAATACTCTTGTTTCCTGTCACCCGTCCTACCCTACATTTTACCCTCAAACCCTAAAAGTTTTTATTACATTTTCATTTTTTGGGTTATTATTTTCCTAAAGTACTAAAGTTGACCAACAATATTTACAGAACTAATACATCATAAGTGTACAGGATACCTTTGCTTTATAAATCTTTATTAACAAACTATTACACACTATATGTTCTGGCAGTTCTGCATTCATTGAGTTTTGAAAATAAAATTTTTTCCCTATCTACCTACCCTAATTTTATTGGTCAGGGGACAGGAAACAAGAGTATAATTTCTTTTGGCCTTATAGCGTGTTCGTTATAACCATGTTTTACTGTGTAGATATTTCTTCCCTTATATCATGATACTAGACAGTGTAATAAATACATTTTCCT